GCCTTAGAGTCACCTGGTTTGAAACCTCGCTTAGTATCGAATGGCTCGGGGAGGTCGCTCTAGATTCTCAGTTTTACGGGAATATGAAAATCGGCAATAATGGCATAGCGGCAGCTCTTTTTCGCGGCTGATTCAATTCAAATTGCTGAAGAATAAGGAAATGTGTTTCTTATGGTATGTAAGCTGCAAGACTGCCATAATCGCTAGTTGAGGTTTTAACATATTTGTCCTTAAGCCTGCTGTAAATCAACTCAATTCTTAAATTTTTTTTTTAGGAACATAAAGGAAATTTTACTTTATTTTTGCGTAAAATTTTTTGAGGAAAAATGTTGCAATTAATTACGACTGAGCCACACCTGCGAACCAATGAATGAGTGCATAGCTGACATGAAGAAAATCCCATAGTACTTTGAATAAGGCAATAAATTTAAACACACACTTCAAATCCAACGCGCTATCAGAAGAGCGAGGAGGTAAGGAAATGGGAAGAAAAACCAATGAACCAACCAAGAATGAAACTTTCGATTATGGAAAAAGTTGAAAACTATTCGTTAAACAAAACCATAAAATAATTATTGGCAATATACATATATACATATGTATTTGATCGCTTAACACATATATTTACCTATATACATACTTATATACCTACAAAGGCTTTCCAAAAAGCAAAAGGGGTTCATATATGCCATGCAAAGACCAACGAAATCTGCTTTTAATGAATGGCAAAAGGCAAGGCAAATCGACGGCAACAAAATGATGTCACTGACAGATTGCAAAAACAACAAAAACAAAGCTACGTAGCGGGGAAAAAAAAGAATGAATTGAAAGACTTGGCAAGTTGATTGACTGTCTGATTGTTTGCAGAGTTGCTTGGCTTCGCGGTTGATTGGAAAAAAAGAGTCTAAAGAATTATAGTGGGTGTAGTAGAGATATACTTAAATAATAGTTTTTGTCTTTTGTTAACGTCAAAAAATGTGTATGTATGTGTGTGCACATAGAAAAGAATACATTAACATTAAATAATACAATAGATTAGAAAATAGAAACGCCTTAGGCATGCCTTCACATCGCGCACACTGTGACGACAGCAGCTAAATGTGCACAAAATTCAATTCAAGTTTGTAGAAAAAGATTTTTGTTGAAAGAATGAAGTGTTTCACATAAGAAAAATCCAAGTTCCTGTCATCCTATGTATACTCGCATTCATCAACTGCTACAAGCTACGTCGCTAGAGCCAAACTCTTACCACATACCTCTACTGTTAGCAATTGGTACGTTTGAAGGAAGCAATCAACCAGAAGAACGCCAGACTACACACATCGATAGTGACTCGCCAGAAGCTCCGACAGCATGGTTGGCAGGTTCTTATGGACCCACTTTACAGCCGGGACCTTGCACCAAGTGATTAGCAGCTGTTATTGCCTATGAAGAATTGGCCTCAAGAGAAGCCTGTTTACCAAAAGCGACAAAGGTTTCTGTGGGGTGGTGTGTCTGAATCGGAATCTGACTTTTGAGCTAGCCTAAGCCTACTTTTAATTTAACCGCCCTCTAGCATAGGTGGCGGCGTGGCAGTTATACAATTTTGATAGAATTTCAGATTTCTTTTTTCTCTAATAAATAAATGTCATAAACTAAATTATAGTCAAATCGAAACATATTAAGTATTTTTGGCCGCAGCATATATGGGACAGCTACACTGTGTGGCGTGGTGAATCTTTCATTGTTGCAGCACATGCTCACATACATTCCACAAAATAAACGAAGAAAAAAATCATGCTATTCTTCGCACTACCCACACCTTACAACATTCTTCACTACACATATAAATTTCCTACTTTTTACGCTGCTTTCATTTACAAACGGGAACGCTTTGTACGATCAAAAGCAAAAAATAAAAAAAAATAACAAAAAAAAAACTTTTTCATTGATTATTTTACATTTACAGCAATCTTTAGATGTATATACATACATATGTTTTTTTTATTACACCAAATGCATGCGTCTTCATACAATTTGTGGTTCATTCATTAATGCTGCAGTCAAGTCATACGTTTTATTGTACTTAAGTATGTAAATTATAACCCATTTGACTAGCATTTAACTTTGAAGTACTATAATAAATAAAAATTTAACTATTTTATGAATATTTGCTTCGCTCACTTTCCAATTTTCAATCATTTTATGATTTTCCTTTTACATATTGCAGTAAATGGCACAAGTCAGTCCACTTTTGGTCTAGTAATCATAGTGGAAATCGATATAAAGTTGCTTGATGTTTAGTTATCGATATTGACAGTACGTGATCATTACTATTATAACAACAGCCGTGACATTTAATTTTTTCTATTGCAGCCTTCACGCCATCCTGCCATAGCGTTTTAGCTGTCGTTGTCGCCGCCGTCACCGTCACCAACACCGTCACCATCGTCAGCCATTTGCGCAACGCCGAGTGTGGCGGGAATTAAGGAACGTGCTATTTGCCACTGCTTTGTTTTGTTTATGGCTTCGTAAACTTGTGCGCAATTTCATTAACGACCAAAACAATCATGAATTAACGCAAGCAAATGTCCAAATGGGTTTATTCAAGTGTTTTCTGAATTTTAATTTGTTCGTTATTCAAAACAAAAACAAAAAAAGAGCATAAAAATGAGTAAATTTGAAATAAAGCGATAGCGGCAAATAGAGAGCGGAAGTCGCTTTTGATTTCGTTCTATTGAATTTTAATGGCACACTTCAGCACTTCTTCGAGTGATCGACAGCGCGTTAGTGTTTTTTTTTTTTATTATTTAATATATGTACATACATACATACATATGTATGTATATGGGGAGCATGAGTCATTTTAATAGGCTGAAGTCTATGTTAGCAAGCGCCACTGTATCTATGAAATTAAAGTATGTACTCTTAGCAAATTTAAAAATTGTTGTACTAAGCGCTTTCAAGTGGTTTGATGCCCTTCTTGTGACGTGCTTTCATGGTTTCAATGTTTCCCCCCACTCTTTATGGTTTAGAAGATTTTACTTTCATGATTTAAGTAGCACAACATCATTTTTATCGTTTTTGAAGTTTTTTTCTTTAAATCGAATAAAAAGGGTGCATCTAATAGAAACGTGATATTGTAAAATTAGTGAAATGGAAAGCAGATAAAAAGTTAATATGTAGTTTTAATACATATGTTTTTATAAGAAAATATACATATGTACACATTTTCAATGAAGCACAGTAGCAATCCTAAATGTTTCTTGCTTGCTTAGTCGGCTGGTTAAATGGAGAGGTTGGAGGTCCCTTACGGCGTAGGGTTTCAAGAATTCTCACGCGTTCCCTCGACAGTCGGGTCTTTATACCGGAAGGACTTGGATTTTTATCCGGCCAAGAACTGTCGCTCCCTCAACATTCCTCAAAAATTTCCGACTACCACAACAACAAGCGGACCTGATATCATTGTACTCCCTGCATATTCCAACTCTAGATTAGTGAAAAGTTCGCTTGATTTAATAAACTGGGCGCATTGTGCGACGAAATAAAAAACTTGGTTGAGATCAGTTGCAACTTCGCAAACCATAGGGGCTAGAACGATTTGCCTATGGCAGTCTTGTATCGGGCGCGCCATGAAATTACTTCGGGTATTCGCAGTGGACCAGCCGTCATTCTTCTTTCATTGCTTTGCATTTAGCCACAACAATTAAGCTCCATTTAACTTCCAATGGCTCGAAATTCTGAGAAAGTTGTCTCAAAACATTGGCCTAACGAAATACCACATTAATTCGTCGGAAGAAGATTTACGTTTAGAAACGTTCACCAAAAAATTGCTTTGTAAAAAAACTTTGTTCTTGTTTGAATTTACGGGATTACCAAGGGAATACTGTGAACTTTGAGGGTTTTATTCTCAGGAAAGTTTTCTAGTTCTATAAATATCCCAAGCTGAGCTGCTCCTCTAATGTGTGATCGACATCTTACGTGTTTTCCAAGGAATGGGACGCTCTATAGATCGAACTGTTGATGGATGCGATACACCCGGAGAGGATGTCACTTTCTGTCGATGGGCGATCAGAATTAAAAATTCTAATTTTCTCTAATTTTAGATGTTCCACTACAAATATTTTTCCAAGACTTTATAACTCCTTCCTTCATCTAATTGGACACGTAACGAGCTTAAATAGGTCGCTGCTACCCGACAGAGGTTAATCCATAAAGATAACTTCAACATTCTGAATACTACTTATGCTTAGAGTAGGGAAATCGAAATAGTTGGAAATGATTTCTCTCTAATCTATCCATTTTAGCCAGGTTTGCTTCGACTTGATAGAAGCCGAGTTTTGTTCTCGCCTAAAATGGTGTGTCTGTAAATAGTTTCAGTTGCTGTTTGCATGTAACGAGTAGAACGGAAAAATCAGCTTGATCTGACCATGCCCAGCAAGTTCTCTTTACCTTATACCTGCGCTTTAAGTCTCTTTGATCGAACTGGGAGTTCCCATGAGGGGTTCAGTGAATTTTGAAATATCTCTCAACTGAATTGTCATAGTTGCTTGCCCATTCAGCCATACCGGAAATCTATATCGTAAGCTTGGCGGGAGTATTCAAAGTAGAAACACGGTGGGCTTTTTTGCTGGATAAAAAAGTGTAACCCTCTAGTTTCCATTAAAAACAATGCTGATAGCGCAGCCTTCTGATATGCTGCTGAGTCAAGTAGGAGGATAGCAAGGGCTACGGTGAGAGCTTTGTATGGAGCGGTTCTCATCGTCCCCACAAATTCATATCAACACTATTCGTTAAACCTTACTAATAGATTCTGGAGGTTTGATATAAACACAGATACGAAGATGCAATGACAGATCCTGGAACGTAGACCATATATTTATACAGGCATAGAGAGTAATGGAGGCCTTCTTATTTCTCTGAGCTATAGAATCTTCTTACAACAACTAAATAAAGCAATAGCTTGTTTAACAAGTCTTCTTAAAAAAAATAAAAAAAAATTGCTATAATTACATACATACCTTTCATGTCCTTCTGTCATGATTTGTAATCAGAAAGATTCTAATATGGTAGCGTATTGTGTCGGTGGTCAATTTCACCATGATTAAAGCATAAAGACATTCAGAGCTGCACAAACTTCCGACCGACTGGACCCAATCGACTGGACCGACCGAACGCCTTCACTGCTCACATCTACATACACATACACACACACGCAGACATGCATTCGCGTACGCACGGCCGCGCGTAATTACATGTAACGGTACGTTTTATTACAACAAAAGTAATTTTGGTGATGGAATCAGCCGAAGGAGCTAGCGTACGAACCAGTGACTGACCAACGATCGCCCGATCGATGGATCCAGTGACCGACCGTTCACAAACGTCGATTAGCGCGTAGAATTATAGGAAGTGTTGTTGTGTGATTATTTAGTTGAGATAAAGTTGTGTTAAAGAGTTAATTTTTAATTAATTTGTTTTTATTGTTGGTTTATTTTTAATTTTTGTACGAAAGTTGTTCGCTAGTACGTACATAGATGGAATTTTTTGTTTTTGTTTTTGTTTTTGTGTTTGTATTTATTTTTATTTATCCTGTTTTCTTCTTTGGCACGCACAAGTTGAAGACCCCGGACCTCGTAGTGTAGAATTGTTGTTGTTGTTTTTTGTAGTCGCTGCTCACTCACAAAAAATTGATTTTGTTTTGCATTTCATTTATTTTTAATTACTTTGCTGCCTAAAAGAAATTTAGCATAAAATAAATGTTTAAATTCGATATTATTTTCCCCGAGCAGCGGCTAAAAGGAAGTACTAAATTCGGCACACAATTAGCCAATTTTTCTCTTCTTCTTCTTCTTCTTTGTACATTTTTTCTTCTCTTGTATTTATTACTTGACAATTCCAACGCCAACAACAAAAACCTTCATTGAAAAGTTCTATTTTGCAGTGAACAGTGTTTTTGTTGTTGGCGGCGCCTTGAAAGTAGTGGGCGATGCAAAAGTGGTTATGACCAAAAGTGACAGCCGAAAACAGGCAACAAAAATTTTTGTGTACTATATTCTGCAACAATAACAAGGAAAATACGAAGTGCCAGACATGCCGAACTGCGCCGGCGACACCAACACACTTCTACGCGATCCAGTCAGACGGCAGCAGCATCAGCAGCAGCAGTATGGTGGCATCAGGCTCAACCAGCTAATGAGAGATACATACCTCGTATTCTGTATGTACATATGTATATGTGATGAATAAAAACACAGAAATGTTGCTCTAACAACTCGAAAACCAACGCAAATTGCAGCAACAACAAGTTCAAAAATTTGTTTGTGTACGCTTAAAAGCGCACTCAACGAAAGACGGGATTCAGAAACTGCAGATCTCGAGACAATAACGTGTAAGGAAGAGTTAATTTCGGTAAAATAATACCGGACCGAAAGGGTTTGTTTCGCTTGGCACGTAAATTTAAACTTTATCATAAAAAAAAAAATGAAAAAATAAATTTAGATTTAGTTGATGAGGAATACTTTTTTAGACCGTTGTAGGTAGTTGTATAAAAAAATATAAAAATACGAAAAATATTATCTCAATTGATTCCACAAGGAGCTGTGTATTGCTTGCCGAGTATATAATTCCATTCTGTCTCGTCCCTTAGTGAATCATTAGAACCCCATAGGCCTTTTTATGCCTAGTACATTCGCTGGTAGACACTAGTTCGGTTTAGAAGACGCGCGGGGTGCTTTTAATATCGTGTATAGAGTGTATACCCTAGCTGTACGATTTCTTCCCGTGGCGTTTCCATCAAATTTGTGTTTGCATGTGCAAATCTGAGGGGAGAAGAGGCATACCAATGAAATCTTTGTTCGGATAAATCCGCTAAATCGTATCTTGCCTAGCAAATTATAATGCCCTGTCTGTTCACCTTTTTAAGGCCCTAACGAGAGCTCCAAACGAGGTATAGTCTATTCTGTTCAACCAAGAAAATATCTGCGAAAGCCCAAAACGGTATTGAAGAAAACATACTACTTCTTTCAAGTTTTCCAAGTTTTTTTAAGATACTGAATTTTCGCGGTTTTGTATTTTTTTATAATAAAATGAAATACGCCTACAGACCATTCTGTCACAAATACAGTTTTATGGTAATACGAAGTTAAAATCTTTGAAAGCTTTACTGACTGAGCAGGACCAGCTCCTCTTCCAATTTGCGTTGTGCGTCTTAATGTCTTTCCAATAATTGGACGGGCATTTCTAAATCCAGTTCATACTAAACCATCCACTAGCAGGCCGATAGATTTTATGAGGAATTTTTATTTTATATCCGAAATACACTTGAAGGACTTGACATTCCCTACCGAAGGAGGCGATTAGAATTAGAAAAATTAATAAAAAATTTTGGATGTTCATCGGACTAGAACTCGAACCGTGGCCTTCCAAACGGCTAACCATTCCGATTTTGCGGCAACAATTCTTTTAAAGTAATTTTTGTTATCAATCTATAGCGAATGTTTCCGTCGAAAATTACATAAACATTTTTTCTAAAATAATTAATAAAAATACGTTTTTTCCGCCTCGCAACCGCATCTAATCCCCTAAGTTTCAACAAGTTAACTCATCGTTCACACTGAAGTATATTAACATTGTTGAACTAACGGTAACACAGTACAGTAGGTGTACGAGCATGTACAAAAAAGTAGCCTTTTGGGCGATTTCTCCCAATTCTGTCTTGGCTGCTGCTTCGTGAATGTAGGCTACGTTGCTTTATTTGATGTTGTTGTGCTCTCCAGTTGGTTGTATGCTTTGACGGCTGTTGCTGGAGTTGTCGGGAAGTTTTATATAAATATTCATAAGTATGTATTTAGATGTGTGTTGCAATATTCATACACATATTTTGTCTTCTTGCTTTTTTTCAATATTTAGGCTTCTTATTTTCTATTTTATGTATTAATGCTTCGATATTTTACATGCTCATAGATAAATGATATGTGTGTATGTATGTATGTATGTATACTTTAGCACTTCGCCTTGTATTTTTTCACAATGAAATTTATGTACACACAGGAGGTAAATGTTTGTTGTCGTCTCTTAGTTTACGCATGTTTTGCAGAACACGAGAGAGCAAGTATTGTTGCTGCCGTTGCTGCTTGCTGCCAGAGTGAGCCTTCGTTGGCCAAAAAAAACTTCTGCGCGACTTTTGCACACATACAAATTTTCGGCTCATCCTTTTCAATTTGCGTCTGATTGAAATTTTTTTATTTTTTCGTTGTTATTGAGGAAATTATTAAAATTATTAAATATTTATGTAAAGCTAAAAGTCATTATTTTCTCTAAACAATGAGATTTTGAAAAATACTCTAAAGAGAAAAAACATTATATTTCGATCTGTAGAAAATTCAAATTTTTTAGGGATATTGCGGTGTTTCCATTTTTCAATACCAAATATAATACTTGGAAAATGGAATAATTTAGCAAATACATATTTGCATAAGTTTGTAAGTATATTTGGATGTACATACATATTTATTTCAGAAGTATCTTATGGCCTAACATATTTGTAATGAATTTCAATTTCATTCAAAGTAATTATGTTGTCTTTAATGTAGGTATGTATGTGTGTTTGCATGTACATGCATACATATGTAGCTAAACAACTCTGCTGTGATGTCCTTATCATAACAGCTATTTTATTGTATTTAATCAAAAAATTTTTTAAAAACGGTTTAATTTATCATTGTCATCACTTTGAAAATCTCATACGTGATATACAATAATCGAATGGAATTGCTGCTGCTGGGCGCGACGCCTGCAACAATCCCCAGCGTGTATCGGAATTTTTTCTCTATATTGGATAATGCGAACTGTCGTTTTTGGAGAAGCTCTGAAAATTTTCACGCACGCACACGCACACGCACACTCATATTTGTGCTGCATATGTATGTACATACATATATATGTACATATATTGGCACTTGCAAAGTAGACACCACCATGAATTTTTCCAACTTTTCCACTTTTGCCACTGCTGCTGCTTCTTCTTCAGATTTTCATCAGCTTTTGCAGATTTTTTCAAATAATATATCTTCTTGACTATAATTGCAATTTTTCACCAAACATTCACTATTACATTATTCTGCATTAATTAGACATTTACCACTTTATTTTAATATTATTTATTCATTTTTTTCTTAATAAAAAAAAATTGCATGAACATTTTTGCCTTCACTACTATGCCTGATCCGCGTATCCGTTCCGTCTGTCCGCTGTGACTGCGCTGTAACAGCTCTGCTAATAAACGCCGTCGCTCCTATTTTCGTTCTCCGCTTTCATGTATCTTCTGGATTTGCGTTTACTGCGCAGAGTTGCAACTAAAACAAAAGCATAGAAAATTTGTACCGCAATCGGTATAAATTCTTTGTTTTCTTGCCGGCTAATCCTTCCTCGATGGAAATTGGCTTTCTGCTAATAAAGAATTTTTAAAATAACATGAGTAAAATTCTAGGTATTTTTATAGGACAAAAGAGTAAATCAATCGGTCATTTTCATATAGAAAAAAATTTATATGGGATCTACAACGTTTGCCTACTTGAATGCAATTTTTTCAATAATTCCATTATCGATTTCGTTACGACGTAACACACTTAACTTACAGATTGTTTGTATGGTTAAATGACTAAATATACTCAAGATTGAGCAAAATTTGCGAAACATTTAGTACCAAAGTACCAAAACTTGAAATCATATGCTTTATTTAATACTTTTTTTTATTCATATACCTTATTATGTAATTTTAAAAAAAGAGACCTTCCAAATCTCACCACTAATGTTACCGAACTCAAATATATTTGGCACAAATATCAACAATTGCATTCTAAAAGAACGAATATGCGTGGTAGCCTTGGCACTAATGATGGACATTTTTTTTTAGTATATATTTAACAGAAAAAAATTTTAGATACATTTCTCATTATTTAGAAATTTATTGCAAATAATTTTTAATTAAATAATAGTACTTTTATTAATAAATAAATTTACAAATGATTTTTATTTTCCTAAATCGTCATACATGCATATGGCTCCATATCCAATGAGTAACATTTTCTGAATGAATCTCCCTTCGAACTTGATTTGCACATTGAACTTGAGATTTACATTTAATGCGCATGTCCGTCATGTCGATTTCTCAATGAAAATTGCTTTTGTTTTTGTTAGCAAAATATGCAAATTGTTTTATAAATCAGTTGTTAAGTAATAATGCTAATTTGGATCTGTCAGAAATAAATAAATCAGAGTTTTTTAAAAAGAAAAGTAATTGTAACTTCATTCCGCCATCATTATTTAATAATATTTGACACACCTTAAACCAAATTGAAAATCATTGTGAATGGCGTTATCGTTCGTTTTTCACTTTTGTTTCTCTTATTGCCCGATTATTCATTTTCCCAATTTGACAATTCTCATATTTAGCTGATTTAGCATCGCAGCCAAGTTAACAGCAACAATTTCTTTTCTTTCGGTGTGCGTACGTTTGATGACTTAAGGCGGTCGAAAATTTGTAAAATAGTGCAGATTTTGTGTGTGAAAAATGGCTAAGAAGAAAACCGACGAGTACGGTGCTGACGGCAACGATGGGGACTATGATGAGGAGCCTAATTTCGATGATCCAGAGGGATATGTTGACGATATTCCCGATGAAGGTAAGTGCCAGCGTAGCACCCGGGCGGCGCTGCCGAAAATGATTTCGCACACCAATTGCGATTGCAACATAACCTCAAATATACAAGCATAAGGAAATTTAATAATTTGACGTATATTGATTTGAAAATGTCGAATTTACACAGCTATATAAACAAACTATTCGTGTGATTTTCAGAGCTTTTGGCCAATATGTTGGCACAGCGGCCCTTGGAGACCGATGGTGTTGAAAGCGTTGTTGTTGTTGACAACATACCAGTTGTAGAGCCATCGCGTTTGGAGAAATTGAAATCTGTTATTCAAAAATTATTTAGTCATTGCGGTGAAATTGTGAATGTTGTTTTCCCCGTTGATGACGAAGGCAAGACAAAGGGTTATGCTTTTATGGAGTATAAAAACGGAAGCATGGCAGAAGAAGCTGTGAAAAGCCTAAACAATCACCGTCTTGATAAGAACCATACCTTTGCCGTAAATTTGTTTACAGACTTTCAGAAGTGAGTAAATTAATTGTTTGCTATAAATTGTATTAAAAAATGATCAAACTACATATTTTTTTAGGTATGAAAACATCCCCGAGAAATGGGAGCCTCCAACCCCGCAGCCCTTCAAGGTTCAAAACGATTTGTATAATTTCATCACCGATCCGGATGCATATGATCAATATAGCGTAGCTGCAGAGACCGCACCGAATTCCGTGCAAGTATCGTTTTGGCAAAATACCCTACCCGAGCCCAATGAATTGGAATCTCGTGAACGTTTTACCGATACATTTGTCAAATGGTCTCCACTCGGTACCTATGTAGTCACGTTCCATAAGCCTGGTGTCGCCATCTGGGGTGGTAGCAGCTTCCAAAAGATACAGAAATTCCCGCATGCAAACACACAATTCGTAGAATTTTCACCTTGTGAAAACTATCTTGTTACCTACGGTCCAACACCCACAGGACAAAAAGTTATCATTTGGGATATTCGTACTGGTGTGGAGAAGCGCTCCTTCGTTGCCGATGGCATGTCCGTATTATCGATGTTCCGCTGGTCACATGATGACAAATTCGTTGCACGTATGGGCGATAATTCCATACACATTTACGAAACACCCTCTTTCTACCTGCTTGATTTGAAGTCAATTAAGATTCCCGGCATTCGTGGCTTCTCATGGTCCCCCACTGATAATGTGATTGCATATTGGGTCGAAGAACAAAATCAAATTCCTGCGCGTGTGACACTTATGGAGATACCCAAAAAACGTGAAACTCGTAATAAGAATCTTTTCCATGTAGCCGATTGTAAGCTACATTGGCAGAAATCAGGTGACTATCTGTGCGTTAAAGTTGATCGTTACTCGAAATTAAAGAAGGATAAAAAGGAATTGGATGTGAAATTCCTTGGCATGTTCTACAATTTCGAAATCTTCCATATGCGTGAAAAAGAAATCCCCGTTGATTCCGTGGAGATACGCGAATTGATACTTGCTTTTGCATGGGAGCCCGTCGGCAATAAGTTCTCCATTATCCATGGTGAGCAAAGCAATGCAAATGTAAGTTTTTATGAAGTGAACAAAGGTGTGAAACCTACACTTGTGAAGAAGTTGGAGAAGAAATCATGCACACACTTGTTCTGGTCGCCACGCGGTCAGTTCATTGTAATGGCAAATCTCTCCATGGGCACTTTTGAATTTGTCGATACAAATAATGACTTCATCATTACTGCATCACCCGATCATTTCCGTGCATCTGAGGTAGAATGGGATCCAACCGGCCGCTACGTTGTGACAGGCGTTTCGTCGTGGAAGGTTAAGGAAGATACCGGCTTCAACATGTACACCTTCCAAGGACGTATCATCCGACGTACAATATTGAAGAACTTCGTACAATTTTTATGGCGTCCACGACCACCCACTTTGCTATCGGAAACACAACAGAAGGAAATCAAGAAGAACTTGAAGAAATACTACCCAATATTCGAACAAAAGGATCGCTTGCGTTTGACACGCGCATCCAAGGAATTGCTTGAGAAGCGTGCACAATTGCGGGAACAATTCATGGAGTACCGCAACAAGCGTATTGCCGAATGGAAGGAGCAAAAGAGCCGTCGTCTGCAGCTTAGAAATCGTAAGTTTACATTAGAATGCGACACACACAAATACTTAACTTTTGTTTTTTTGTTTTGCCTTTGCAGATTTCGACACAGATAATTTGGATACTGAAGAAGTCGATGAGGAAATCGTTGAATTTTTAGTAAAGGAAGAAGTAACCGTACTAGAGTAGTCGAACAACAATTGTGTCGTTTTCCACTAAAGCATACGCCTTTGTTTGCCAATTGAATTACAAGGGCGTAGCTAGACAACATACATATAAAAATTGTATTTAAGCAAAAATTATAAAATACAATATTTATTCATCAAAATTAATATACTTTAATTGAAAGTTTTTTCAAATTGATTTGGCATACTGCGAACGCTCAACGTGTATTTCCAAAGAGAAAAAAGCAACAACAACAACGCGTCATATAACTTTTTAGTTTAAAAATCAAAACTATTACCGGCTCTAAACTTTTTCCAAAATTGAATTTATAATTTGTATGAAGCAAAAGTAACTGTAAAGCATAAGTAACATAACTTTTTTACTATATAAAGCCTTTGAAATTCAACTTAACGAAATACATATACATACATATACGCAGATAGATATTTTGTTATTTTATTTTACTTTGTAATTAATTTTAATTGAGTACGAAAAAAGCGTATACACACATACATACTATCTATCTATCATACGTAAATATAGAAAATTAAATATCTTATAAAATGTTGAAAAATTTCATGACTCTCCCTTCTGGTAGTTATGTTGTATTCATTATGCTGATCTTTAATAAAATTAAATATAAATTTGCATTATATTTGTATGCCATAAGCAAAAGAAAAACGAAAAAAACAACAACAAATTTGCCAACTTGTTTTATTTAGTATACAAATGACGTGCAAGCAGAGAAAGCAACTTGGGGGTGAGGTGGGGTATGTGACCACAGATGGTGATTGTTTTTCTGCTTAAATATAGATCAAACAGATTTGTGTGTTTTATAGGTGTGTGTATGGTTTGCATTAATGAATTCGTAGAAATAAGACAAAAAAGCACAAATTGAAAGCTGTTTGGAATTCTCTGCCTAATTAAATAAGAAAAACACTTGTTTTAGAAATATGTTTTGCTTGAGGACTCTTGGATCGGTTTGAAGCCTATTAAACACTAGTGATTGGATCTTCCGCCTGTCACATACCGTCTGAGCTTAGCATCAGTGGTGCGGCTTTTCACACAATGAGTGTCGTAAGCACAGTAGACACGATTATAACCCAAATGCGCAATAATACGCCAGTCGTGTCTCATTTCAAAAGTCCTTCTCCTCCTGATCTTTCCAAACAAAGTGCAAGCCTTTATCCACATCTTTCCAATGGAGTGGTGATCTTACTCTTCCTCTGGTGGGCTTCCAGTTATCTGGGCGACGTCATCTAGTAATAAGAGCCACTGTTATTATTAAAGTGGCTTGCTCAACCTCGCCTAGGAGTAGACAAAATAAATCTATGTCGTCTAACGGTAAATCGAGGTCATCTAACGGTAGGTCCATGGAACCAGATATTTCGCCGATCTAAGACCAGAGGGAGAGGGGTGTGAGAGTTGATTTTAGTGGATATGCACAGAGATTTGTTTTGATTTGATTTGTTCATCGAGGAAAAACTTTATATTTCAATTACCTACTCAGCCCAAGTAGCACGTGCTGCTAACTAAAGTAGAGATTTTACCCAGAGGTTTCCTTTACCAAATACGTTCCACTCTCTCTTGGAAACAATGAAATACCAGTAGAAACTCCACTCGTTAAGCAAAGAAGTCCTTTAATACCTACCAGCACTCTTAAAGGATGCAATCCAAGCTTCATCCAACCAGCGATGAGCTTTGGCTCACTCTTAATCTCTGTGCAGTTAGTGTCTGGATGCGGTGGCACGTTGAACTCTTAATTGTTCGCAGTGAAAATCACAATACCTTTTTTTGTTTTGTCTTTTCAATTCAAAAAATAAATTCTTAGACAAACCGGAAAAACTCCAAACGGAATTGCATTCTAGAAACTGACCATAGCCTTGTACTAGTATATTCTTCCATTGATTTCAAATATGCACCCCGGTACATCGAGTCAATGCACACTACTACTGTTACCTTAAAATAAGCCTCATATTTCAATATTTCATCCACCCATAGTAACACGCAGACGTTGCCATAGAAACCCACCAATTCGAACAAACACTCCACCAAAATATCATAACAAAAAGCTTTGGAAGAACTGACACGCTTCGAGCAACTTTCCATTCATAAAGTTAAGCTGAAAACTAAAAAATTTAAATTTTTTAAAAAATGAGCAGTCGTACCGTGCAAAGTGCGAAAAAAAAGACAAAAGTCAATCGCCAGAAGAGCACAAAACAAATGAACCGTACAAAATCCAAGCGTCGCAAGTCACGTCCTACACGCGAGTACCAAGACAATGAACGCGAGGTGCAGGTATTGTTGGAGAACACAAGTCTTTCAATCGATAGCAGTCCGCTTTCACATCGCAAAGATGAATTAACACGTAGCTTGGACTTCTTTTGTCGCACCAGCGAGGAAGAGTTAATATCTACATGTAGATCAATACAACTTAAGCAGAAGGCAACGAAAAACGAAGTCGCAGGGAGCGAAATACGCATTGATGAAGGTAGCCTCGACGAAAGTAGTGTAAGAACTGAAGAGCCGGACGAGCGTGAGGACACTTTAACAAGCGCTGAGGAGACGGACAAAGCTGCGAGCAACGAACAGTCCGCTTCACCGACTTCCACACAACAGCGCGAGCACACCGCTTCCACGTACGTACAAATTGATGACGAAGTTTTAGTGCAACTGAGAGACGCTGAAATTTTTCAGCAAGATGCCACCTTACTCTTCAAACCTCATACACAGCTGGCGCCGGATATAGCCTTGGCTGCAAGCAGTGTAGTGGATGCTGAAGGAAAGCCGCATAAAATATGCGCCAACACTTGTCGTATGCTAAATCGACATCAAGTCGAACAACGCGCCAGGGATGAGCCTATATCTAAAGCACTTGTGGAGCAGTTGACGCGCGCACAAGCAGCAGATTTATCATACATGAAAGATCCAACCCTTTATCGCAGCTTCAGTGCGCATAAATTTCATCCCATCTTCTGTGAGCCAACACGTCAACCGGACGAGATACCCAACAGGAAATTTGTGCGTATTTACTTGAAAGAACTGCTTTTCACAACTCATCCACATCAACTAGAGGAGCATAGACTGTCCAATGCGTTGGAAGAACTTCATGAAAAATATGTGCAACGTCAGCAGCAGGGCGTGTGCGAAAAGCTGCGCGCCCAACTACAAGCAGAGCGTCATGTTGTCAACGCATTGCTGCAGCGGGAGTCCTATAATAGCGACGCGCAGGAATCGGCGCGCTCAGTTGAGCGACGTGCGCGCAAATTAGAAAATCAACTGCTCAATGTACGCGCGCTGCGCAATCAACTCTACGATGAGGAGGCGCAAAGCAAGCGATTGTTGAAGGAGATACTCGACACCTGGAAGCGCTTAAAGCAATTAAGAAAAACGCAAGATTTTCAGTGCACACGTTTCAAGTTACGCATATATGTGCAAGATGAGGATAATTCCGCGGTGGAGGCTCATCGTTGGTCGGAGCGCTTTGAAACGGACCTGAATGAGATTTATCGCGAGGAGTTAGAGATTTACTATCGAGCAAAACGGTTGTGGAAGGCACGTGATCGGCGTATGGATATAACAGAGCTACCGCTCAAGCCACGCAAGCCGGATATTACACAGCTCTCAAAGGAGTTGCGCGCCAAGTTGGCGGCATGTTTGGGCGCACATGGTGAGCCAAGAATCGATGTGCAGTTACATCGCGTTTGCGACGATGAGTTTTACAATCTGCCCGGCCTGAAGCGTCTAAAGAGTTTCTTTATGAAAATCTATTTTGATGGTGATTTTGTGAGCGCGACGCGCAGTTATCGCATTGAGCCCGATTTGCGTATACCGATGAACGAGGTATTTGGCGTGTTTTTGGAGCGGCGCATGCCGAAGGACATACGTGTGTCGGTAATAATTTTGCTGGTAATGTTTGTAGTCTCTTGTGCAAAATATTTTTTTTATAGCTCTTTGAGAAGTTTCGTCTACACACGGCGCGCAAAGTCGCCGACATACAAGTGCCAATACCGCTTGCGCTGCACACCGTTAATAGCGAGCAACAACGCATAACTTTTACAACGCAAAAGCCCATATGTGTCAGTGGCCGTCTGACTATACGATTTCAATGTGAGGAGCAAAACAATTCGAGCACACGCTGGCAAATTCCAACTGCCACGCCTGTCGCTTCACCAACGGCTTCACTTCAAAGTTCCCAAGCGCAAGCTCGAGAGCAGCATGCCGAACAACTACTTGCCCAGCTGGACGAAGATGCGCAGCAGACGGAGGACGAAAGTACATTAAGTGATGCGACTGAAATTGAAGAGCCGTCAGCACATAGGTCGCTGGACACGTGCACCTTCGAAGAGGAGCTGCTACAGTTTTGTCCCATCAAAGAGCTGGAGAACAATCGCCGCTTCAAATTGTTACACTCGCGTTATATGAAAAATGATGTACGCACACGTGATCTGCGTTTCGTTGCCGCGCTGGAAAATGAACTCGAATTCGATTGGTCTGATAAGGAGGAGGCGGTTATCGAAGCGGGCGATTGGATGGATGCTATAGACTTGCACAAACATGAGGGTAAGAAGTATCTGAGGCAGCTCTACGAAGCGATACGCAGTCAATGTGCGCGCTTGAATGTAGCAGCGGCAAGCGCGGAAGAGCTGCTCATCGGTGATGTGCCAGCCAGTTGGAGGTGTGTATGCGAGGTTGTGAAAATCACAATTTACTTTATTTCTTTACGTTTTTTCTTAGCTCCTTCTTCCAAGCCTTAAGTTTGATCTTCAATCCCAGGGGCTCATTGAGTGCGCCGCTCTCTCAACCAGCTGCATCACGACCACTCGCGTTGGATATGTATGCGTGTCAAAATTTCAAGATTGTTTTGAATATTGTACGTGCCACCGGCATACCTGTGCGTATACCAAGCTCCACGGATAGCGAGAGTAAGGAACGCAGCAATGACAGTCCAAATATGTTCGTGTCACAGAGTAAGCCCAGCCGGTTGTTATAGGTTATCTTAAACTTTGGACTCTCTTTTCTATGATGTGTTTCCAGTTTACAAGTATTCCAACGTGCGACCTTTCATCGTCTTGAGTTATAAGGATAAATTCTGTCGCTCTCTTACCGTTGATGGCTCAAATCCGACCTGGAATGAGCAACTCATTTTACAGCTAAGGTACTCACGCCTTTGCTCATTTCTTATTGTTCCTTTATAATCCTTCTCCGTCATTAGTGGCAGTTTGTCTGACCTACGCGACGAGCTCAAAATCTCGCTCTTCGATGAAGTGATCGAGAATCACATGCAAGATGATCTCAGCGTGCGTAACATGGACATTTATCAGCGCATACAAACGAATTGGCTGGGTGAATATCGCTTTCCTATGCATACATTGCTGTCGCAACAGAAAGTACGTTGGAATCCATCGATGAGTAGCTCCGACTTGAGGAACTCTTTTACTCAAGACACTACATCTCTCGCTTTTAATTTTCAGTTTGATGGCGTTATTGAGCTTAACACACCGAAAGTGCTGTTGGGTTACAAACAGCCCACACTCGAGCACATCGCCACGCAAGCGAACGTCAATATTCCTATCGAACAATTTCCGGAAATAAAAGAGACTGTACGTCTTTGGTTTTACATGAGCATAGAGCCACAGGTGACACTGCCGCGCATCAATACCGCCAGCCTGGAATGTGCCGAGCTGAAAGATGTACGCCATCAATTACAACAATGGTGTCTGCAAGCGCAGGAGCTGCGTCCACATCGCTATATTGAACCGTTAGTTTGTACCACAGAGGGCAAACGTGTTTGTTTAACGCGTCTGCTGGAGCCAGTGCCCTTGCCACTAGAGCTTGCTGAGCATAAATTGGAGTTCGCTTGCCGTTATGTCTCACTGCTCAATGTGCTAAAGACCTACGATCCCTGCATGGCGTTCGAAGGTATCTGGTTGAATAATCAATGTGTATTAGATACAAATTGGTGTTCGGTGAAGGATCTTGGTGTGCTCTTATGTAATTTCCTGCTCGGCATTGGCATAAACTGTTGGCTAGTGCTCGGTTATGCAACAGCTTATGGCGAGTGCGCTTTTGTGTTGTATAGAAGTGAAGAGGGTGAACTCTTACTCATCGATCCGTACACCGGTAAACGTTTTGGCACTAGAGATGTCTTCTGTCCGCTATACAAGACTTCCGTTGCTGTCACACAGACTAACGTGAGTGGCAGTCAGCTTGAAAGACCAAATGCCAAAGAGTATTTCAACATCTTATCTTTACAGTTATACTACAACATACAATCCGAGACTCGCGCCACAATGACTAATTACAACTTCAATGACACATCCTGTTGGTTAAGCGCCTTCAGCAAGCGTAGTCCTGCGCCATTGGGTGGCGTACAGAAACTGAATTACACTTACCGGCTCTCTTTTAACACACACGAGCTAAAGCGCAATATTGAACGAAAAATAATGAAGAAAATCAACTCGTGGCGTACCATGCGAAAGACTATTTGGAATCGGTACGTAAGAGTTCACTGAATTATAGGGAAGTTAATGCTTCTCATTCGTATTATCTTTTCATTTCGAAAACCTAAAACAGCGCTTTCCAATCGCGTCTTCAAAGTATACTTCAAGACCTAGAACAGCTCACTATTTCCGGCCATGGCTCATACATCGAAGCCAAATACACAGATCAAATTGCAGCTGAGTTTCCGAACTATAAGGTAAATAATTAAAAAACCAGAGTTTTCAAAACATCTTCGCCTCGATTTTACCGATGCTGCGTCAAAACATTGAGAGACGAAACCGTTAATACGCATTAATGCTAAGCCCGGGACTCTGTAGGCAGTACTTCTCCAGTCTACTAAGTTGAATGAAAGTAAGGCAACCGGAGATGGCAAAAACGAAATTCCACTCGGTGACGATGGTATAGTCGACCCATCACCTGATTATGACGAAGTTCGAAGCGGCGAGAGCCGATGGCTTACGAGCAGTTATATTTGACACTATATGTATGTCAGAGGCAAACTTTTTACTATAAGTAGTAACAATTTTTTTCAAAAAAAAGGAGCTCGGTTTAAAATCGCTTCTGCGGTCATAAGGCGCCAATTCTACACACAAATATTTTTTTCTATCAAATTTTTTGTATTTAAATTTTTTCAGATCTACGGCTATGCACTTAACTTTCCCTATACAAATCTTACAACAATTTCGGAGCGCATCAAATCAACGGGCATACATTTGAACTCGGACAAACGTGTTGAGTTCTGTTTGGCGACACACATACACGTCTACCCAAATGATGTGCTATCGGTGTGGATCTTCATGATATCGTTAATACGCAAGAGTTATTGAATAAGATTTAATAAAACGTGAAAATTTATTATTTGATAGAAACCAATAAAAATATAGCTACATTTCTATTTTTCAGATATCCTGCTACTGCTTTGCGCTACAATAATCATATTTTTAATTACACTTATACCTTGTGTTAAGCATTACTTGCCTTTATTGTACCCTAAGTAGGCTAAAAGATTCATCTGGAAGTAGCGTACAGCTGGAAAAGTTTTAATATATTTGATGCGAATTAGTTTTAAGTAAGTGATATTTTATATCGAAATGAATAGATAAAAATATATTATTTAATTGTGCGAATGTTATTATTAATATTTGACGGCGAGGCTTATTTTAATATTTCCCATCGAAAAACTACCCAAACAGAAGATTACCAAACCGGAAGTAAATTTAAAAATACATAGCAGAGTTGCTTTATTACGCGAGAATAGGGTTTTTTTCTAACAGTCCATGCAGTGCCAAATCTGTGCATACGGTAACACTTATACAAGCCAAGCATGTCACAGTTTTTTGACAATTGTGGTAACAAAGTTTTGTTTACGTTCTCTGGTTCGTGTTTGCAATAATCCCCATGTACTTTTAGTGAAATTATTTATATTCTTTGCATCATGTCCAACGACAAACGTACCATCTACGTCGGCGCCTTGTCAGATGAAGTTACAGAGAAACTGCTTAACGATGCTTTCATCCCTTTTGGTGATATCGCCGATATACAAATGCCGGTGGATTATGAATCACAGAAGCACCGAGGATTTGCATTTATAGAATATGAAATGTCTGAGGATGCAGCTGCAGCTATAGATAATATGGTGAGTTGCTGATAAAATGTTTACTATTAAGATATCTAATTTAAAACTCCTTCTAGAACGATTCAGAGCTTTGCGGCCGCACAATACGCGTTAATCTCGCCAAACCGGTGCGCATTAAGGAGGGCAGTTTCAAACCCGTTTGGGCAGATGATGATTGGTTGCAGAAACACGCCGGTGCGACATTGAAAGGTGATGAAACCGAGGCACCAAGTGAAAGTGCTAGCGCTAATACCGACGAAGCTGATGTCCCAACTAGCAAGCCAAGTGGGCCGATCGTTATAGAGAAAGCCGAAAAACGTAATCCGCAGGTGTTCTTCGATATACGAATAGGTGGTCATGATGTGGGTCGTATTATAATGCTACTGCGCGCAGATGTTGTGCCAAAAACAGCGGAAAATTTTCGTGCACTCTGCACGCATGAGCAAGGTTTTGGCTATAAAGGAAGCATTTTTCATCGTGTGATACCGGAATTTGTGAGAACATTCTCTACTTGCATTGCATTGTAATTACAAACGTAATCTTTTTTTATAGATGTGTCAAGGTGGTGATTTTACAAATAATAATGGTACTGGTGGTAAATCAATATATGGCAAGAAATTTGCCGATGAGAATTTCACACTTAAGCATAATGGCTTTGGTACGTTATCAATGGCAAACTCGGGTCCTAGTACTAATGGTTCACAGTTTTTCATCTGCACAACGAAGTGAGTGGCTTTCAATTTTCAGTGGAGAAATGCTTCAATTTAAACTTTTTTTTTTGCAGAACCGACTGGCTCGACAACAAGCACGTGGTTTTCGGACATGTAATCAGCGGTGCGGATGTTGTGAGAAAGATGGAACGATGCGGCAGTAAATCGGGTACCACAACACAAAAAATTGTAATATATTCTTGTGGAGAATTAAAATAAAACAAATATTTTTACTTTTTAAATTTTTTTTTTTATTAATTTTTAATTGAAAGAAAATTATAATTTGTAATCCAATGTACGTGTCTGCCTGAAATGAAAGAGACGAGCTATTAGCATATTGAAAATTTCAAATCGACACAAAAAATTTGACATAATAGATCAGTTATGAAAATGAACAGCATGGTTTTAAATGGGTTCGACTCAGTAGAGGGATCCTGAGTAAGGATAAATCATCATTTAAAACATTTTTTTGCAATTTCTGAATAAAACTCACCTTATATGAAAATTTACTTTATATTTCAAGGTTAAGCCGGATGGTTTTGGCTGTAAATAAATAGAAAACAAAAAAGTATTAACATATGCAAATTAATAAAAAAAAAAACAATATTTTAAATATATGCAATCAGTTAACAAGTAAACAGCATGGTTTTTAAATTGGGTTCGACTCAGAAGAGGGATCCTGAGTGAGGATAAATCATCCTTTTAATAATTAGTGAGTAGCTGTATAATTAAAAATGATACATACCTTTTATTAGTCTTTGATTTTTTCAGTGCACCACAAACACCTATCCTATAACAAATATAAAGGTTTACGTTAAAACATGAACTAATCTTAATCTAATCGACGCTTTAATGTAAATGCATATTTTCAGTTAAAAAATTTGTTACATGTATATTTCAAATGAACTATACTATAAATGAGTCATCATATGAAACTTAGGGAAATAAGGATGTTAATTATTTTAATACTAACCTTTCCCATTTGACATCAGATTTTACATCTCCTTCTGTCGTAAGTTTTGATCAACTGCAAATAGAAAATGGTTATTAGCTGATTGTTTCGCACCAAAAAAAGAAGTAACATTTGGTTGATATTTTCAGAATCCTTTTGGTTTGTATGTGATAATGCTCAGCATGATGATTCAGAGCAAAAGTATCATCATATTAAAGAATTGAAAATATAGTAATTATAAAAAAAAATGTTACCTATGGAATCAATGTTTGTATTTTGAGCTCATTGTCACATTCAACCACATTCTGAGGTTATCTCCAAACAATACCAGTTTTTAGGGCACATTCTTCGCCACCAGGATAAAAATTCCCGACTTTTAATCTGAAACCGAACAAAATATTTTTAGAGGTTTTGTACAGTATTTAAATTAAAAGTAATTATCTATTTATATATACAATCAGAATCCTTTTGGTTTAATTTTAAGTTGTTAATCAGCAAAGTTTTACTTATGATTAAACTTATCATCATTATATTATATAAACTCTGAAATTTAAGGAAAATTTAATATTTACCTTATAAGTTGTACGAGCTTTATAGTAAAACTGAATTTAACCATTTTTCCAGACCAGTACTGCAACAAAAATATTTAAACATTAATGCAAACTCAAGCAAAAATAAAAAAAATATGGAATTGTTCTCTTCAGCTGGCCGTTCTTATCTATCCGCAAAAATATAAGCGCATACAAACAAATAATAAAATTTAAATGTAATACGCTTTTTCAGCACGAGAACATTCATCAATTTAAAGAAACAGGTTATGATTTTATATGGAATACTTACAAGGTACAACTAAATCAACCCTTTTCGCTACCATCTTTGCAATTTTGATTGTTTTTAAGCAAACATAATAAGAAGTATACTTTAATCATTAACATTCTGAAAATATTTTCTATATATAAGAAAAATAAAAATTGATGGAATTTAAAACTTCTCAAGCAAAGCAGTAGATGAAGTTGTAAATTCTTTGAAAGCCTACAGGAAAATGAACGAGTTTCGGATGTACAAAACTGGCAATGACAGCGTTATGGTTGCCATATTTGAATAATTGGACTCAAAAATGGCGATGTCTCCAACAGTCTCCAAGATTATAGGTCTATTTAAATGTAATTAAACAAATAACTTTCGTTAAGTATTTTATGTGAGGAAAAAGAAAGGAAATCTGCTTCAAAGCATATTTCTGATTTCATTTAACTTAACCTTACATGAATATCTCACTTAAAACTAGTAATTTTAGATGACAAACAAATATGTTGAAAAACTGACATTTGAACAAGTTTTCACTCGTATTTTATTTATCAAATTACCTTTAAAAAAGTTTATAGGGCGGAAGTGAAATTATAATCTAGAGGGTGGTTAAAAGTTAGGTTAGGGGAATGACTGCTAATGAAAGGATATAGATTTCGCTTTGTCATACTGGCTAAGTAAAATCATTTTGCTGACTAAATTTCATTTTCATTCGTGTTCGATATCCAACCACTGCAATTTTTTTGGCGTTTGATACCTTGGCTAGTGCAAAAAGAGAAATAGTCTCCTGTGAGAAGCAGTAAGAATTTTCGTGTCTCATACTACCAGATATTGTTCTCTAGGTATCTTTATTACCAAAAAAATACCTTACACATGATATTTCCATTAGTTATCTCATGCTAATATCGGAGGCAACTTTGGTCTTCCCATTAATAAAAAAAAAACAACTCAGACAAAAATCATCCGTTGATTGACATGCATTTGGGTTTTTTTCTTTTAATTTGATACTACAATTTGTGATTTTTTTTATTTCTTTAAAATACTACAACAATAAATATATATGAATTTTTCGTTTAAATTGAAAAAATTTAAGTGCAAATAGTAGAGTTGAGTTGAACGAAAATTGCTAGAATGGCGAAAAGGCGTAAGTCCAAATCAAAAAAGACAGGCGCTAAGCACCCACCAAAAATTGAAAAGGAATACATAATACTGACACCAGACGAACAGCAAATGCGTGATGCGAAATATGCAATGCGATTGGCTGATTTACGATCCTGTCTTTCATTTATCGATGGTAAGTGTGATGGAGGAGCAAACAAATTTTATTTACGAACATATGAAGTAACACATAATTGGAAACTTCCACCTGCAGTGGTAGAATTTTTCAAATTCTCCTTTATTATTATCTCACTATCTCACTATTATTTTAATGTTTCCAATTCGCAAACTATACCAATTATGGGAATATATTCTTGGTTACCATTTCGAAAAAGTTGCTTGAATAAATCATCAGTTTTTAATCTTTCTCCACAGACGCATTTATGAAAGTAGAAGAATTAAAACAGGAAGAGGATGTGATCTTAAAAGTGTGTATGCTTTTTCTTGCAACCTCTACATATACATACATATTACTATATACAAATTTGTTTGCTTTTTGCAGTGGAAAACCTATTTGCTTTGCGATGGTTTGCCAAAACCCTATATACCGCCGGAAGTACGTTTGTTTTTTGAAAAACTAAAGTATTTCGAACACTTGAATAGGGAGAAAACAATCGATTGGCTGCTATCGGTCGATGAACGCAGTATTTTAACACAGGACATTTACACCAAAGATATGACGCGTAGGACTTTAGTTAAAGAAATACGACCGAATTTTGGTGATGAGTACAAAACTAATATTGATTTACTTCTAAAAGTAATGAGTTTATTTATAAATAACATTTATGTATATACACGCAAATAATTTAATTTATTTCTTTGCAAGGTCATTAAAAGTATCGATTATTACGCAGATGATGAAACAAAGATAGCGAATACCACAATTCGCATTTTGGAAGATATTTTAGAGGCATGTAATGTATTTTAAACAATTAAACATAAAGTTATAATACCTTTATACTCAATTATATTAATTTTGCAGCAAAAGAAAGCAGCTTATCGTGAAATCGAGAACTATTTAGATCATTATGCTTATCGCATCTTATCAGCTGAAGATTCCTATATGGAGTGAGTCTCCTATGTACTATATTAATTTTCTTTTATCATAACATTTTTATGACACCATCATCTAGATCTGTTGACGCTACCACCGCTGAATATTTTTATGAATGTGACAACTTTTGTATACACATTTGGACATTGAAAAATGTGCCAATACTTTTTCAATTTCTAGAGTGAGTATGGCTTAAAATTGGATTTGAATATCTCTAAATTTCTATCAAATTCAAAAAAAAAAAAAAAAATACTTGAGGGTTTATTGATATTTAAATATTATTTTTTTTTTTTTTGAATATAAATAATCTTATTTTTTTCACACAGAGACCCCTGCATCGAGGCAAAATTGCATAAAATGCAAGCTAAAATTATTTTGCCGTATGGTATTCTGAAGGAAAATCTCACCATAAGGGGTATACATTTCTTTTTCGATCCATTTAGCCAAAATGCGAAGAGTTATAAGCAAGATATTAGAGAAGTTGGAGAAGATTTAACCGCTGGCATACCGGGTAAGTTTTTTTCACAGCAAGCATTTGTCTTCAGTTGAATCTTTAGCATTTGTCACTTAATAGATTTTTTAATTTCAATTAAGATTTTTTAATATGTATGCTGTATATTCTATATATATGATGTATATAATATTTTTTAAGATCTACACGAATGCCTAGTACATGAGCATTTTTTGCAAGTGGATTTACAAAATCAAGTGCGTACGAAATTAATTGAGAGGCGTGCCGAATATGAAAATAAAGTGCAGTAAGAAAGTGTTTCTATGTAGCATAAAGAACGAAATATTTAAACTGGAACCAGAAACTTAAGTAGAGATGTGCTCAATGTTTTCATACAAACTATCGAGTTCAGATAAAAAAAAACAGTTAAACATTATACAAAGCTTGAATTGAAAAATTAATTATACATTTTTTTGTGGTCAAAAATTTATTGAGAAAATTTTCAATAATATTTCTTTACTCCATTAGCGCGCTAGCTGAACAATTGGAAGCGTTAAAGAAATCAAAATCTAACGATGAAGACAAGAAGAAAAAAGAACCAAAGCTTATTAAACTGCCAAAGGAGCCACCAATAATAACGGAGAATAGTTTTCCGGATATTTGGGAAGATTTTTTACAATCAGAATATGAACGCTTTAATAATTTCATTAATAACATTTATCACCCAGATTCTTTGCATTTGGAGCTAGATGAGGTAAGCAAGCGAGCAGCACAGTTTCATAATGACATTTTTAGGTTAAGTATCAAAAACAAAGAAAAAGAGCTTGCAACTTATTTTTACTTAAATTTAATTTAATTCTGATTCTGTTTTTGATTAATTAAAAAATTTAGTTTAAGTTAGAAAATTCGATTTTAACGAAGCCTTAGTTTAAGTCCATCAAAAAAAAATATTATTTATTCAAATTAAAATTGATCTCTACTATATTTCTAGATTAATTTAAAAAAATATGCAATACTCGGTGGCATTTATCAATTTAATTTTGTCAAAAAACCATTACATTATAATTTTAACGATTTTAATATGACTTGGCATGAGGATGGCGGCCAGTTGGAAACCATTAAAGATATCATAGCGGAAGAAATATTACCTTCGATGAGCTCTCGCGTTTCCACGCGCTCATCACAAACTCGTTTTTCTGCCTTATCTCGTCGTAGCATATCCCGATTAACTGACGCCCAATTAAGTCAACTCTTTAGGGTACCGCCGAAAAATTGTGATAGTCCAAATTTTGTCATAACCATAGAATTACCCGAATATTTATGCCTCTGGGGTGAGCCATTACCTTGTCATTTTGAAGATAATTTAATCGATTACACGGTGGAAGAAGTGCCCACAGCTGAAACAAATCGAACACCTATGCCCGCAATGCAGAGTGTTGAGGAACGGCTTAAGTCATCGATAAGAGATGGTTTAAGTACTGCTTCGGTTGATTTTTCGTTTACACCGAGACAATCCAGTTCAAATTTATCTATGCGACCAAAACATTCCTTCTCAAATATATTTCGTCCTTCGATGACTTCACTTGTGACTGCTATGACCACACAAGCGCAATCCCAGGCTAGCCAATCAATGCATGTACCAGTCGTCGATGATTTTATGCTTGACATGCCGTTGACACTACTTCAAATACGAAATATACAACGACATTGTTTACCACGAATTATTTCCTCATTTAAATTCCCTGTGGAGTTACATGAAGAAGCCACCGAAGAACAACGTGGCAAGCCCAAAGGAAAAGGTGGCATTTTACTGCGCAAGCGATTATCCGATGATAGTGATGAGACAGAGGCAGTTAAAGAGTTTCAATTTGAGGGTCAAAATAATCCCGAACGCATCTTTCCCGTCTTAGCCGTACCCGAAAAGATGCATATGGATTATATAATACAAGAAAATGTCACAGACTCCATAACGGTAACAGGTACAAAACATCCGAAAAGTTTCTCAGACTTGGTACAAACACTGGATAATATTCGCGCAACATATCAGCGGAACTATAAGCGTACATTACAAGTGGCTGAGAGAAAAATGAATGTACAGCTCTTTAGGGAACATAGAAGGATGCTAATGAAAATAAAATCAGCGGATTCGATAGTGAAGGCACCGCTACCAGTGCAATCTTCGGCTAGTATACAAACGGCAAGATATAAATCGCTTAAGCGTAAAACACGTGTGAGTGATATGGATATGCTGAAGAATAAGGAGCGTATTCGTTCGGAAATATTGCTCAAAGACGAACTCGAGAAGCAGGATGAGTTGGAAGACTTCGAAGAAGGCGGGGAGTCCAAAGAGGCAGAGGAAGCGCCAGAACCAGAAAAGAAGTTTCAACAGAAATCGTTTAGCTACGCACATTGGACAACTAAATATATCAAAAAAGTCGAATATGAAAAAGAAGAACGTAAAATAACCATTTGGACAGATAGATTAGGTAATTTGCGAATAAAAATATTTATTAAGAAGGAAAATTGAAAAAAAATCTGTAACGAAGTTCTGTATAGTTTAAAAAATATATGCTAAAGCTTTTACGATAAAAAAATTAAATCTAGTACTAAATATGTAACTGTCGAAAGCATATGAGAAGAAAATCTTGTATTTGTTGCTACAGTATTTCCTAGAGGTATGGTTAATTCAGTGATTCTGCCATTTTGCTCCGATAAATTTAGAAATTTACATTGAGAAAAATGTATTAAAGCTTAAAATTTTGAATATTATTATTAACCTTTAATAGAAAATTTCTCATTGTTTTATTTTTTAATCCACTTCAAGGTACAATTGGTTTGGCATATAAGCTTTACGAACATTTTCCCTTTAAAGATTGGAGAGTTGAGCCGGATCCGGAAATGTAAGAAAGCGCTTTGCCTTTTAATTTTTATTAAATTTTGTTTACTAATTTTAACAGAGAAGGAGAAGTACTCTTCACACTGGAAACTCAATATGTTATATGCGTAATCAATATCTCAGCGAATGGCTATCGCGGTTATGTTGCAGAGCCAACAAAAGGTTATGTGCGACATCGTAAAATTTATATGGACATTAAAGAACCGATAACGGATTTAAAGGAATTGAAAAAGGTTGGAAAGTAAATTAATATTGAACAAATTTTTAAATATTTTTTTTCCTTTTTTTTTGAGTCTCAGCGCTTTCATGAGCGGTACCTGAATATTTTCTCTAATCATGATGCACGGTTTTATATAGAAAATGGTGAGAATTACATTTTTTTTACAACAATAATTAAAAATCCCACACATCTTTTAATCTTTTGTTTTCTTGTGGCACACACAGGTTACTTTTCGGAAAAACATTTGGCTTGTGAGTTACATACGTACTCCTGCATAGCGTTGCATTGTTTGATGTTGAAATTTACGCGCTCCGATTGGAATCGTTTGGGTAAACGTCGTGATATGGTATTGAACTTCGGTCATGCCCGTGATCCATTAGAAAATTTGATACAGGTGCGCATAACCCCAGAGAATGCCACTTTCGTTGATATAAAAGAATTATGCTCGGATGATTTAAATGTTTTTGTGCTGGAATATACATTGACTTGGCGTAATATAGATGTGAGTATTTATATAAATATATACTTTAAACGTTTTTATAACATTGACAATTCCTTTATACGTTTATACTTTCCCCCTCTTCCTAGAATTATAACGATTTCCATCATCTTATAATGTCTGCATTCCTATCGGCTATGGATAATCGCTGCAGAGATCCGAAACTTTTGGTGAACGTTAAAAATTTGCTTTACGAAGTACGTCCGCTAAGCTACTCGTGAAATAATTAAAACAAACGAATACGTTTTATAAATTTTATTTTGTTTTTAAAAACTAAATATTGTTATATTTGTAAAACTGGTAGATATGATCTACTGTTTTGAAGTAAATACACATTTTTAGAAGTATAAAATAACTTTGATTTGCACAGAATTTAGTTGAAAGTGCACTGTAAATCTAAGTAAACCAACAACTGAACTTATCTACACAGAAAACAATGTCCATTCAGTGTAAATTAGTTTTTTTTTATAATCAAATGCTTTAGTTCCCAAATTGGAAATTAAGAAAATTAGCAGCATATCAATTAAAAAGAAAATCCACATATATTTGTGGAGTGAATGTTTTCCTTGCGCATAGTTTAAAACTAAAACTGACAGCGAATTGCATAATAAATGACATTTTTCAAGTAATTTTATGGAAATTGATTTTAATTATAGAAAATTAACTTAATTTACTAAACTTAATAGCGAGAGTTTACATTGGAAAATTAGTTGCAGGAATAAGTGTGCAACAGCAAACAGCAACATATCATTTTTGACGCTGAATACGAGCATATTTTCGTACTATCATTAATCTCTTTTTGGTGCACTGATGACATTGACTCAATTCTTCCCGTGCACGCATGGTATTTGTTTTCATTACTTAGTCGTAGTTGTCGTCGCTGCACACACACATATTATATCTGCACCAGGACTGTCTCAAATGCCTTAAGAACGGTTGTATTTGCCCCAGATGTGCAACATGAATACGGAGGCGATGAAAAGCAGAGACATCACCAGCACTGGCACGGGTCCACTGCAATGGAATAAGAGAGTATTCTATATTAATATGTATAGATTTTAAATGCTCTAATTTTTCTTATCATTTCCACAATTTACTAATTACCAAACTGTAATAATTTTTAAAATAACTTTTATAAAAAGAGAAAGTACACAACCCATAATAGCCTGCACTGCAATAGTGACCCCATTTGTACAATAAAAAAATGCTTTGTTGGCACACAACTACTTACACTTTGATGCCGGGCGAGTCGTCGGTGTAGAAACGCCACATACCACCAGTGCCTGCGCCAGTGGTGCGACTTCTGGCCGCTGTTGTGCTGCTAGTAGTCTTCCTTTGTTTCAAGTTGCTACCTCCAGCACCACCGCTACGTGGCGCTGACATTTTTGTTGGTGAACGTGAACCACTGCCCACGGCGGTCGAACTAGCTGGTGCAGGCTGCAATTATAACAAAAAAATGTTACTGACAATTGTTTCTTTACACATATTTAATGTTAATTTACCATTTTGTTATTAAATTATTTGCAGTTTTATAGAAAAACACGTATTTATAACTGGTTTCAGAAATTCACAACTATCCAATTGACTGCTTTCCACAAAATAAAGATTTCGCCGTGAGTGTGACAGTTCGTTGACGTCGATTTCGTTGTTTTTCCAATTCGGCAATCCATTCGTTTCCACGTAGACGACAGAAGTTGGTTGTGATTAGCTATGACTGTCAAAAGGTAAACGTCAACAAGGTGTTCTTGTATGATACCAAAGATGGCGCTGAGTCTTACGGAAGCAAGCGGAAATTTCTAGAGAACGGAAATATTTTATAAATTTAAAATAGTGTGATTTACATTAAATAGTTTTACTTTTACGACCGTAATATGGACAATATATGAAAATATGAGCTAGTGAGTTATTTATCGCGAGTATGGAATCAGGAAGTGGCAAATAAACGGATGTGCAAGAGTATTTGAGTGTCTGAGGCTATACATATAAGAAAACATATAATCCGCTCCGGAAATGTAATATAAGCGGATGTCCGGGTGCGCTTGTGAATCTAAAGTCATAAATGACAGAAGCAAGTTCTTGTTAACTAAAATAAGTTGCTTATACACATATGTGTGCATGTATGACCTATAGTCTGTGGGATGTATTCGAAAACTCATACTTTTGCGGCTTCGACGATGGGTAAGTATGGAAAATCGAATACATATATGTACATACATAAGTCTTTTTAAATATACAGCATTGAAATTTGTGATGTTTTGAATTTGTCTGATATAAAAAAAAATTAAAAATCTATTTTATTAATTACAGTTTTCGATGTTTCTCTCATTTTGTATTCAGCATTCATTCTCGATATGTCTCACCTCTTCTTAATAACTTATTCAATATTCAATGTTAATTTTTTTGTCAAAGTAAAGTTTATTTCGTGCATAGAATATACATAAGCTACGTTACATAAGTTTTTTTCTAATATATTTATTTATGTTCTTTTTAAACAATTCTTCCATATTCTTCCTTTTCTCTTTTTTGATATTTTGCATTTTATTGGAAACACTAAATTAAAGTACGATCGATACAATAACAAGTAATAATATAATAATTTAACTTGCGGGTATATAAGTAAATAGGCAGATTCTAGTGGGGAATCACAAGTTTAAGTTTACTATTTAAGGATACCATGTCCTGATGCGTGTTTTGGTGTATGCGGTGGCAAGCTTGAATTTAAAAGTATCATTTGTGTTTAAGCGTTTGCATGTGTACATATGTATTTCGGCTTTATCAATACTGTTTGCAAGCTTAGTTTTAAAACTTTATTTTAACGTTTTTTCGTAATAATTTCCTAAAATGTGCACAACACACATTACACTATGCATTGCTAAAACTTTTGTGTTTTTCAAGTCGATAAAATTAGCGTTGAAGGACATGATATCAGTGATCAGTTTCAAATTTAAATGTTACATGGTAATTAAATGAAAAGCAAACGTTACTAATTAATATTGTGAAACTATTTAGGCTGTGAAACTAAATCGTTATCATACTTATATTCGTTTATATATGTAGTTATAAATAATCTCTAAAGATTAATATTTGCTTCAAGTATTCCGTACATAATAATAGAATATTTTTTTATTAGAGTAAACTTGTGTATATGTATGTGTGGAGTAATTTTGTTAAAAGTTAAGAATAAATATTTTCAAACTACCAGTAAACTATTAACCCCGTATATATTTATATTCTTAATATTTCATGCTTTAATTTTGTTGTTTCACTTAAGTGCATTAAGAAGAATTGTTGTTTTTTTGTTGTTTTTTTTTTAAATATATTTTTTTGCTTGTTCTACTTTAACTTTTTATAAGTATGAATTGAAAATAAAATTAAGTTTAGTTAATTTTTTAAGTTTATGCCGAACTCGAACTGGAGGCCGAATGCACCGTCTCGGTCGCAGCTGTTTGTGTTGTTGAGCTATTCGTCGTCTTAGGCGATTTATTATTTTCTATACCCTTCAGATCAGCATCGACCTTTTTATCCTTTAATTGTCAATTTTCTGCTGACATAATGCCGATTTCCTCATTTATAGCTAATAGTTGCTGTATAAAGTCCTGATCGTTTATCACCTCGGCTAAGGATTTACAGAGTCCGGTGAGTTCTTTCTCCTTCATATTCAACTGCGGTGCTACTTTACTCAAATGTTGTTGTACATTATCTGGAATCTGAAAGGAAATGTTTGTGTGAGTTAATTGTGTTATAAATATTATATTACAACCAGTATCATCATTTACCTTTGCTGGATTTTTGAAGACGTTGAACATGAATTTCACTTTTATGCGTTGATCGTTCGGTCCGTCATAGAATATGGTGAAATGTGATTCATTGCAATTGGGTACAATTGGTAGGTAAATACCCGCAAAAACACGCCCCTTTGCGTCTCGCGATAACAGCGAACGGAAGTTATATACTAGATTACGACGTACTGTTACATCGATCGCTGTCACGTACGGCTGTTCGACATAGATGAGTGATGATTTGAAACATTGCTCATCGCCGCGTGTCTCACGTTCCATCCATTCAACATATTTGTTGCTATGCAAACAATAGTTGTAGCAGTAATCACGCTGTAAACGAGGCTCTTTAGACTGTGTGAACCAACCTGAAGCAAAAAATAATATCTCTTTTAAATTTTGAACACAAATTAAATTCTGCTATACACAGTAAATTATGTTTTTAGTCTGGCTGAGTATGCAATTTTATTTAATTTGAACTCACCTGTATGCGGATACATTTGATCGGACATCACGGTTACAGCGCGTCCAATATGATAGCCAGGATCCAATATCATTACACCTTCGCGTCCAGCAACTGAAATCTTCATAGCAACCATAGCGTGTTCTTTTTCCACATTAGCATCTGGAGAATTTAAGCCGCCTACTTCATCAGTACCTTCAATGTAGTCGCTCTGAGACATGACCTGTTCTTCGCACGAAACCAAATACAAATAATGTTGTAATACTGGAAAGATCTCAATGATGCGTGTCATTATCTCCATAGCTAGGGAGACACACATGTGATGACGCCTGTTTATGGGTAAGTCGTAGAATTGGAAAAACGATTTGAGATCCGAGCGACGTGTACGCTTGAAGGCGCGATAAAAGTCCACGAACAAATTTACGGTATCATAATGTGTTTCCTCAAGCATACGATGCAATTTGGTCTCAATAATTGCATTTAAATCTTCATATTCCCAAACCGAGTCGAAGTGTAAGACGCCTTTGGCATGTTCGTCGTCACAGGCCGTTGCCCAATCGGGCAATGGTAGTGGATGTCCCAGTGGCCAGATTCCATTAATTTGATTGAATGCAGTTAAATTGTAGTTATCCTCATCGGCCCACCATTCTTGTTGGCCATGCAATTGGTTGCGCCACCACTTGCGATGCTGCTCTTCTAGTAATTTACGTATATTTGAGCAGCGTTCCAATGATGCATTTGATGTCACATTATCCACTTTGTCAAGGTTTTGTGCCGTGTGGGTGTCAAATGCGGTTGCACCGACCACAACAGCTTCCATATTGGTTGTAACATTTTTGTTTTCATTCTCAATTGCTGTTGCTCCCACTTGTGCTGCTGTTGCACCAACTGCATCATAACCATTAGTAGTGTGTCGTTCACCAGTGTCGTTTTTAGCGTCCACATGGTTTTCATCAACATCATGGCGGTTGTCCGACGACCACGTCTTGTTGGCCACGTTGCATTGCTGCTGTTGGGCGACAACAATACGTTGGTCGTTGTTGTTTTGTGGTCTATCTTGAACAGGAACGGTGTTCGTAGTCAATCCAATACGTACCGAACCCGCCGATAAACCATTGGCGCCGGCGCCCACAACAACAGCTGGTTCATCAGCTGTTGTGTTAATGGCGGCGGCGCCACATCGCACCAAGCTGGCTTCGGCGAGTCAACTTGGCCATTCGGCACCCCAACGGCCAACCGTTGGCACGTAGCCCCTTTCGCAATCATTTAGCGAGGTTTCTAGATTAATTTTGGCTGTTGCGTTAATTGGTAATGGAATAGCGGTAGCTGTAGTGGCAGCGGCAGCTGGAGCGGCGGCGGAGGCGGCTGCAGCACCGTTACACGTAGAAAATAGACTATTCCGGCCCTGTGCGCTTTTGAACAGGAGGTCCGGCTCGTCTCCAAAATACGATGGTTGTTTAGAAAGCTCTGTGGGATGAAAATAATAGAAGGTAAGTGATTTGAAAATATAATTTTATTATAAAATATATGCATATGTGTAGTTAAGTTAGGTAGAGATATGCTTAGACGACATATGGTTTGAGTATGGTTATGTTTATAATATCAAGGGTAAGAAACATTACTTATATACTTTAATATACATATAAAATCAGAAGTGGAATACTAAAGCACAAAATCAGAAGTGTGGCAATAAAAGCTTAGTGTGCAGTGCAAATTAAAATTGTTTGCACTCTAAACTTAAAACTATTCTCTATAAGCTCGTGGCCTCTTATATATATATATTAAAAAAGTTGCAATTTGGGCAATACACTAGTCATCAAAGGCAAAACAGCCATAGCGTCTATTACAATTGCTACATAGACACATATTATGTATGTATGTATGTTTATTCCTAAATCTTCTAATCGCTTATCAAGTTTAGCTAAATAGCAATAATGTTTTGAGTGCAAAATAATAAATTCATAACGATTATGTATAACCATTAACTTTTTTTACAAAGACAGTTAAGCCATTTCCCTTAAAATTTCGCTGATTTTCTGATTATTCACATAAGCGGAAATACATTTTAAACACACAAACCGCCATAATTCCCGGAATCGTAGGTACATTACTCATAAGTAATATACATACATAAATTATTCCCGTTGTCATTTGCATGAGAAGTTATTATGATGCACCAAACAATCTCAAATGCTGTTCTTCTAACAATACTACACACTCGAAATCTTACAACAATTTCTCGCCTTATTATTTCCGTAATTTGATGGGTACATGTACGAAAAGCAATTGGTTCACTACTTCGTAAACAATAGAAAATACTAACTCGTACATATGTACGTTTATACCTACATAAGAGTATAAAGATGAGAACATACATTCAAACAGACGTGAGATTTCAACGACCTCAAGAGGCTTTCATTTGCGAGCAGATTTCTCAATGGATATTCGCGTTTATATGGCAAATGGGCACATCTGCCGCATGCATATCTTCGCATTGTATTGTTCGTTTTTGAGAATGTGTTTTTATGGTTGTATCAACTATAGTAGACACACATATCTATGCAAACCATTGCAAACAAATATTACATTATATATGCCTGAACATCTGTTAATGAGGTCAAAGTTCTTTTTGTAACTAAATCGACTTTGTTTATTAGATGTGATACATTTTCTATGGGCAGGCCCAATGAGAGGGGGGGGGGGGAATTGGGGACTTTTCACCCCGGGCCCGTAGATTGCAAGGGGGCCCGGTGTTTTCATATATAGAATAATTTGCTTCTAGAATATCTATGACGTAAAGAACTATCATCGTTCTTGTTCAAGCCAATCTCGAGTCTCAGGACTGGCAACGTTATGTTTGGAATCTCAATTAGCTAGAAAACTTGACTTCGGTATTATCATTGAGGAATTTGCATCAGCTAAAGCAAGGAAGGCATATTTTTGAGGGTTCCTACCTACTTAAATACTATTGTGATGCAAACTAAAGTAATAAAATTGTTTAAACAAAAATTGTTCCAGATTACTCATTCATTTTAATTTTAATTCAAGTTCTATTCTAAGTACAAATAAACATATTTGTTAGATCATGAAATTAAGGTGTTGGGGGCCCGCATTTGAATTATCCCCGGACCCCGATTTTCTCTCGGCGGCCCTGTCTATGGGTATTCGATAAAATTTTTGAACAAAGGCCATGGAAAAAAGTCTACGGACAGGTGTTAAAGAAAAAAACTTAGTGTAGCATTAAAAATAGGTATGAGGAGGGGGTTTAGTATTGACGTCATATGTTTTAGCGCCATCTACAGTACCAAAAAAATACCTGTAAAGAAATTTACATACATATAAACAATTTTTACTACTTGATTTTCTGAAATTTCACGCCCCAGTACGCTAAATGGCTTATGAATCACACGCTAAACATATTTTTTGTGCAAAAAAAAAAATCAAAGTTATTGAATTAAAGAAAATACAAGCTAATAAACAAAGAACATTTTCTCATTGGACTAAACAGCGAAAAAATTTGAACAAAATTTTAAAAATATTCATAAGCTACATAAGCATATCAGCGCATATTTCAACCGATTATTAAACGAATCTAATAAAACTTTGGACCTCAATTATATTTCTTAGAAATCTACACATACCATAAACCAGACCGTCATTGTAAAAAAAACATACATATGTGTATGTGTGCACTTTACTTTGTATACGCTCTGATTACTTTACCGACAATCTTGAGTAGGGCAAAAAAAAAACCCATATGCTTAATTGGGCATGTGCATATTGAATGGAGGTCACGTGAAATCGAAATTCATTGTTTTATTTAAAAAAAAAAACATATTTTCTTACACACAATACTATTTATACTCAAATGAGTTTATTTTCTGTCTGTCTCAACGCATCTGTTTCTCAGTGAAAATCACGATTGATTTGCCAGAAATGAAAATAATGCACAAGAACGCAGAAAGTCAAGTAGAGAGGTGAAAATAAATACATATTTACATACAAGTGTATACTCGTATATGTAATGGGTACGCGTGTGGATGCAAGTTGATATTTAATCAGCGCGCCTAGTAACGAATTTTCGATGGGGAATTTATAAGATTACTGTTTGCTTAGATAAGCACTCGTACGTATGTGTGTGCATGTGTATGTAAATATGCAAAATTACTATTTAACTGCTAGTAAAAATATTAGATAGCAGCAGCAATTAATGGTTAGGTTATATGACTTTTGTAGCCAACTATAAAAACTGAAAATACCACGTACATACATATGTCCGTACACCATCATATGTCATACTATGTTAATACTATAGAAATAGTTTACGTACAAACAAACTTTTCTTCATACATTACACATTTATTTATTTTTAGCTCACTTCCTCTATTTTTACGATCAGCTATGCATGAAACTATTAAAAATATATGTATGTATATGCATGTATGAGCATTGTGTGCAAAATTTTTCGTTTTTTGCGGCATTTAAAAATTTAATATCGATTTTCTTTTGGACAAAAATATTTTATAAATTGTAAATTGTGTATTACGGACCGTGATACCAACTCTATTTCTCGGTAATACGTCTTAGACTTCTTCTTCTCTTTAGACTTCTAGGTTGTTAGTTCTAAAAGATGTCTCAAATGGAAATATCAAATGGCTAAGAGTTAAATTGAAGCTTCATCTGGCTTTAAGAAGATCCAACAGGATTGTGTACGGCCTAACAGCTAGCAAGTTTAAACTTAATTAATCGTCAATGAAATCTTCGTATATTAGACCTTTGAAAGCATTACTAAAGTATAGAGTTAGATTTTCAACTGTAGTTAAGAGTAAACTACTAACAGAGATAGAGAAATGCAGTTTACAGTATTCTAAATATGAACCTAATGGTAATCAAAATTTTGAGTTGGAAACTGAGAGGATCGATTTTTAATTGAATTCACTATAGATTTGTTATCCTTTCATGCTTTTTGAATACCAAACAAATAATCTTTGAACACCTTACAATTTTTTTTTTGACAGCTGTTACTTGAACTATACACACATCTCTAAAAAAAAAACACCCTTTAAATAATTAACATTCCATACTCAAACCAAAACAGATGACTGAAGTTCTCTATTACTTTTCATAAAATATTATTTGAACTAATGATTGTTTGAAAATGACTTTGAAAGCGTACAAAATGTATTTTTTTTTTTGTAAATTTAATTGCAAAAATTGTCCTTTCAATTAAAAAAAAAAATTATTCCATATATTTTCATTAATTTTGCAATAATATTACTCGATCATAGAAAATCTCAGTCACTTAAATATTATACATATATATAATATTTTTATACTAAGTACGGCACACAACACAATATAATCTTCCACTCACCCATACAACGGCCAAAGCCTGGATAAATTAAATTCTTTGTTCCTTCAGATTGTTGTTTAGGTTTACCGTTTTCACCGTTAAAACGCAACAATTCGATATTGTTATTTTTTCTTTAAATGTACGCACAGAAAACGTGATAAAGTTCAAAGTAAAAGTTTTTATTTTTTATTCTCTTGTTTTTTTAACGCGCTAAAAGCACGTTTCTCGACACACGATCGACTGCAGTGGCTTGCTTGCGACTGATCGACGTTTGAAACGTTTTACTGACTATATAGTATCTGAGAGCGTACGCTCGTGATCTACAAACAATTATTATAATTTTTTTTTCACTGGAAGTCTCTAGCTTCAATTCTTTTGTATTTGGATTTCTTTTTCCAATGAGTCACTTAATTGTTTACTTGTTTTTCAAAGTTGTTGTGGTGTGTTTGTTTGTTGTTTTTTTTTTTTGTAGCAATTTTTTAATTGCACGTAAGTTGTTAATTTGTGGCGCTGGAGTCAACTTTGGTTTTGTGTTTTTTTTTTTTTACACAAAGTACGAGGAAATGCGACGAAAATTAAAGTCGAAACAAAAAACGATAGATAATATTTTCGAAAACGAAACGGAAACAAAAAAAACAACACCCTTTGTTTTTTGGCGTTCTTCTTGTTGCTGTGTTTTATTTATTTTACTCAACACCTGTCACTTTTTTTTTGCCTGTTTAAATCAGGTCAGAGTTTGTGTGTATTGGCGAATTAATCGACATCGGAAAACGGTTTTCTTTGCACCGTTCAGCACAGGAAATTCAAAATATTCCAAATTTGTTTTGGAAAAGCGGATTTCTTGAATTTGTAGTTTTGCTCTCTTTTTTTTTTGTAAGTCTTTTTGGGCGCTCTGGTCTGCTATTGGTTGTAGCTCAATCCGATTTGCTCCTTGTTTTTCGCTGTTTTTTTTTGCTTGGTAGTTATCCGTACAAAAGTCAAAATACGACTGAATTGTTGGCAAAGTGTTGTAGCGATTTAAATGTTTACGATCAGCATACGATCTGTGGCTACGAATTTTGCCACCTCATATATATATACGTATACGAGTACTGCATGCCAGACCCGATGATCGTCGAGCGGTTGATTGCCTGCCAGCAGCTATCAGTGTACAGCTTTATGTATGTACGTAATAATATGCGACTAATATCTCGCTTTGTTTGTTTGTTGAATTTATATGTATGTATGTATGTATGTGGTTTTGATTAAAAGAAAAAAAAGTTATTTTAATTTATTTATTTAGTTTTTTTTTTTTTTGCTGTTGTCGGCTATTCTGTTTTGGTTACTATGTACCACAAAACGCTCATATGCGCTTACGTATGTTTGTCTATAGGTATTATGTATACGTGTATGTAGTATGTTATTATAATGCTACAGTTATGGCACGACGATAACAATAGTTTGCTTTTCGATATTTATTGCTTTCAGTATTGTTGTTGCTGTATACGCTGTTATTCATGTATTTGTAGCCTTTGAAGGTCTTTACTTCTGACGTCGATCTTTCTCTACGGTCTCTACAGCCCAATTTATGGTTTTATTGTACAGCTACGACGATTTACTACAATTATGTTGTACACATACATATGTATATGTATATGTATGTACGTATGTACATAAATATTTTCTTTTGGTGGTGGTGGAATAGTTTTAGGGGCGTAAGGGTGCAGGTATTGTGTTGAAGACTCAAATATCTGCTGGCCAAGTAATTTAATAACAATAAATCTTGCTCTCAACCTTTGTTGTATCTACCTTTATTGCGTCGTAAACAGCTGACTTGGCTATACTGTTGTTGTTGTCTGTTAGTTAGTGATCTACTGTTAGCGTTTCCAATCGAAATACTTTGTATTCACACGCTTGCTGCCAGCAAGACGAGCAAATGGATAAAATTTGTTGTTGTTTATATCTCTGTTTTTTTTTTTCTTTTTAATATTATCAGCTGCTTTATTGTTTTGGAAATTTTTCACTGTTTGTTTACCTCGCTTTACGCCGGTGTGTATGCTTGTGTGCAATTTTTATATTTTCTTTCAATTATTTTACATTTTTTTTATTCCGCTTTTAATGTTTATAATCAGATTTCACTATTTACCTTCCGTTTTTTTTATCTTAAGAATTCGTAATGGTTTTTCTCTTTACTGTTGCTTTTTTTCGCGTTGTTTGGCGATCTTTCGTAGCGTTGCGAAATAGCTGTAAATTTATTTTTGTTGTTACACCGTATGCTGAAATTCGTTGTTTCGCATTTTTGGAAAAATATTTGTATGATAAAGATAAAGACAAGTGTTAGAAATTATTCTTGTTGTTGTAAATTTGTTTATCAATTTTCCAACTTAAATTGGTTTGTAATTTATTAACACACAAACTTTTAAATTATTTTTTTTTTAATGAAATATTTAAATTTTTTTTTAATAAAATATTAAAATTATTTAAAAGAATTTTCAAACTTTTCTTTTATTTATACGATTTTTTCTGCTGGAAAATTATCCGTCCCAATGTTTTTGCCGCGCACTGTAATAAAAAAGAGAAATCATTGAAGAATTACAAGGACAAATCATTAAATTTTGCATAAAATGTTTTTAAAGTAGTCTCTACCTAAATATATGTACATATTATATATGAAAAACTATATACATACATACATATTTTATGTATGTAGTTACATTATTCTTATTCTCAAACTTGTGGTATACGTATTGATGGTTTTTTTTTTATTACAAAGAATCCAGCGATACCCACCTACCGCCCAACCAACCGAGGGGCGCGTCATTCCGATAGTGTAATATCGATGGTACACTTGCCTCTTACACTAAACAGCTACAGGTTTGCTCATCAGCTGAAGTAATATAAAAATCAGAAACACACTCGGAGTACCTAACATTTCCTTTAGAGGGGCGAACGCAATTACAAAAATTAAATTTGAATGTTCGTTGAAGCAGGATTTAAGTCCTTGCCTTCAGAATGGCAGTAATCAAAGCTAACCACAAGAAAATTTTCGACCGGGGGTTTTATACTAAAAGACTGTGACAAATTGCAACAGTTTGTTTGACTGAACACCGGGATATCTTAAGCCCAGTTAGTGTTCAGGCAAACTTTCAAAATTCTGAAATTTTGCATTGCTTTTCGAATGGAGTCTTCGTGTCACGGAAAGCGAGTGATAGTAGACAAGCTTTGAAGTATCAATATTGATAGTCATTAGGGTAATTAAAGCAAAAAGGTGACGACAGTGAAACAAATGGATATCTATATCTATCAGGATGATACATTAGAGCGGGATGGAGTGGCTTAGCCCCTTTCAAACACCGACAAGACCATGTATAATGGCAGCGAGGAGGGATACATCCAGCAACTACACGATAGTTAATGCGAGACCACAGGTTACTTACGTCACATACAAGCAAAATGCGCATTACTAACAATAATGGATGCTGGAACCCCTCTGTCTCAGCGCCCGGCCATACCTAATGGCCTCACAGGTTAGGCTTCAAACCTTGGCCTAGCTCCTACGAAGGACTTGCATCTCATTTAGGAATGCGTGGGGATGACTTTAAAAGCGTTAATTATAGAAATAAAGCTTTCATGAATTTATTTGATCTTAATAAGAGAATCGACTGAAATAGTTTTGTCGCATAGAAAAAGATTAATAAATTATGAATGTTTGGCTTTTATCTGCACTAAAAATGTATGTTTAAATTAAGTGCGCAATTTTCTATCTCTCGAGGGCTCATTTCCGTTCGCATATACCTATCTAAGTACACAACAATCATTCATACATAAATATATGTATGTTTATACACTGGCCGGCATAAGTATACGCACCTATGTAATTCTTTAAGGTGAACACATTTTTCAAAACATATTTTTATTATACGAGGATACTTGCCTTGATGCTTTTCATATTGGATTTTTGGTTGTAATACGCATGTGCAGGTTTAATAAAAAATCAAAATTTGTTAAGGAAATTCAGAAATACTGGGTTGGTCATAGTAGTTGGGTATATCTGGCAACACTGTAAATTTGACTAGAACCGTCAGATCGATTAATGACAGTACTTGTTTGAAGAGTTAGCCGTAGAAATTGTAGAAACTATAAAAAAAAGCTTGTTCCCTTTTTTATTTTTCTTCCATATGGAGTAGTGTACACCAATAGAGCGCGCTGAAATTATCCAGCTGTGGAGCCAAACTAACTTCTCAATTGTTAAAACTCAACGTACGTCAAAAGGGGACAAATAAAAACCGTGAACAAAAAAAAGTGTAGTTCTACGCCACCGTAAGCTCTCAAATTATTGAAGACTCAAAAAAACTGGTTTCAACAAAACGGTACAGCTCCATACAGGTGCTATAATGTTTTGTTAGTCTTTGCTTCCTGGAGGCTTGATATATAAAAGAATAATTTTGACTAGTCCTCGCGCTCACCAGATTTGACAATATCGAACTTTTTTCTCTGAGCCTACTTGAAGTCAAAAGGACTCTAGACGAACTTAAAGCCAAAACTAACAAGAAATTTGACAATTATTTCTACGAAAAACTGGCATATTGTGCCACTACAACTCGAGGCAACCGAACCAGTTGCGCGATTTCTTTAAAAAGTATAGTAATAAAATTTTCTGGAATCAACTTCACCATAGAATTAACGGCCTTCCCAGTATCTTCAACTATAATTTATGCCCATTCATCTTGCATTACTTCTTGCAGCATCTATTTGCCTTTAATTATGTGTTTCCATATAATACGTTCGAATAGCGCATGTAGGTATGCAATGGGATTCCGACCGGATGAAATTGGAGGTATTAGCAGTTTTCTTGGGACATTGGGCGAGGAAAATTAGACAATTTCCGCCGTATGTTTGATTTCGGTGTTTTGCTAAAACCAAAATTCGCTACCTAGACAAAATTTCGCATCACTTTGTCTTAAGTTGTTCTGTAATATGTAGAGATATGTCCATAGTATATTAAATATTTTCTAATAAGTTTTCCAAAAACTATTCTGGAAATGAAGCACTTATTTTCTGCTTTCGAAATTATTACTAAGCACCCAAGGTCAACTGGGAAGTAGTATTATTGACATGCGACCCAACAGACTTCACTTCTCTTTACGTTACCTGTGAAAGGCGTCCAGATTTTGGATAACAGTGCAAACTGTTGTCCAGTTTCATCGCAGCTTAAATGTGATCTACAGAATGTGGGGAAAATTTCAGCTATTTAACGAGTGATTCCTTAGATTGAAAGCAGTAAATAATTATTTTGCAAAGGGGCAAAGTCTTTTGACGGCCAGTGTAAGTGCATAGGCCATACAATTTTAAGTGGGCATATGTAAAAAAAATACGAAATGTACGTATGTAAATATGAATGTATGTATAAGATAAACAAATTTATATAAACACTATAAATATGATAGGCTCAACATACCTAGTATTTATGCGGTTTATATTTACGCCTGTCTGTGGGTTCGCACACATAGTGCATAGTATAGAGATTTCAAAATATTTACAATTTTCTTAGGCCTTCTTATGTTTTTATTTACGTTTATATATCTATTTAGATGTCGTTTATAAACAAAACTTATTATTGCAAGAAATTCCTTAACAAATTCTGCGAGTATTTTCTCAATTTAATTTTTGTCAATCAGAATGGCGCAGCAATTTGTGAAGAATATCAGCTCTGTGCCGTGTCAAATTTTTTAACAAATTGGAGCGACCTACAGTTTTTTCTAAGCCACCTCCGAACGGTCGTTGAGCTTTTATGAGGATTATGAGGAGCTTTCAAGTGTTTCATGTCGAAAATACATTTGGAGGTCTCGACAATCCCTGCCGAAGTGTGACCCCAGTTAGACAAATTAATTTTCTATAATTTTGGATGTTGATAGAAACAGCACTCGAAGCTTGGAATTCCGAATGGCAATACGCAATACTAATCTCTCGGCTGTTTGCGCCCGTACATTTATAGCTTCGCCAAAACATCTTTTCACGAAGCTTTAAACAGAAATTAATTTCAAATTGGTGTATGGATATAAAGTGCAAATTTCTGCAAGACAACAATATTATATTTTATTTTTCACCAATTTCATTGGCCCTAGCAATTTGACAACGTCAGCTGTCTGACGTTGGACATCCAATAGTTTTTTTTCGCAGCTGCTTTCGCTCTTATTATTTTCTTATTTTGTCGAATAAATGTAAATAATAAAGCATACTTTTACAGACATACAAGAACTACATGTCGTACGACAACCGTCGTGCAATTTACATTTTTTTTTAAAAATATGCAAATATTCTAGAGAATTTAACAATAGCGATGACTCGCATAACATTTTAGAATTGAAGCGATTATTAAAGCAAATAAAAATGAAAGAAACATTTAAAAACAATTAAAAATGTATGTACGAGTATGTATGTACTTTTGTATTTCTTCTGATTCCACGTTTCTATTTGTAATCAAATTAGTCCGTTTTTGAAATGAAAAATGTTCCTCAATCTCAGGCGATTATGCCATGCGGTAGGTCATGGGTTCATCGTTCCATCCTCTGCGGCATTCGTCGTTCCGCCGCAAAACTTTTGTCCTCTAAAGCTTCTAATATCCGACGGATATGGCCATCGTGCGCGTTTCTCACTCGTAGGAGAGAAGAGGGAAGAGGGAATGACGAGCGACTTGTTGTGTTTAGCTTATGTTCGTCCAGAGAGGAAAAATTTTCTGCTCTTTCCAGCTACTTTGGATATACTGACATGAGATATTTTATCTTATTCTCGTGCCCAGCCAAACCCATACGCTTTGTTTCCTTATTCAGTCGGGAGAAAGCAGAGCTAACTTCAAGGTCGTTGAGGTCGATCGGCATACGTAATCAGTTGCATGCGCTTATAGCACATTATATCTTCTATGTATTATTTTCTCCAGTATTATGTTAAGTAGTCTTGCGATAAAGAGTCACCTTGTCTAAAGTCTTGTTTAGCATCGAACCGCTCGGAGAGGTCATCCTGATTCTAAAAGAGCGTCAGTTTACACAACCGTATAAATTAAGCAGGTATATCAAATTCAGGCATAGCGGCGTGGAGACCGATACTTTTCACTGTATCGAAGATAGCTTTAAAATCAAGGAAGAGATAGCTTGCGCCGATCCTCGTTTCACGAATATTTTTCAAGATTAGGCTCATGATGGATTTACCAGATCTAAAGCCACATTGATAAGATTTCACCAGCTCATTGGTAGTCTTGTTCTTCAGGCGGGCAACCGCCTTGCGAACTTACAGTCGGGTTGTATTATTTTC